GTTTGCTGTGCCGAACGACCAGAAATGTCCAGTAAAGGTCTACGAAGTCTACGCAGAAAAGCGACCCGCGGAAATGAAAACCGACGATGCACCGTTTTACTTTGGCAATAAAATAATGTTAAATCTGGAAACAACGACGTGCTGTCAACTGATATCATGTATGCAACTGTCAGGACGAAAAAACGTTCAAAGTATCACTAGCTACTCTACCGTCTCACAGAAACAACAGTTGAATATGTCTCACACTCTCACTGGAACGTTTGACTCGCCATGTTTTAGTGAGCAATGGAATCAGATGGCCGCTCGCATTAATACGAAATGTAGAGGAAAGAGGAGGACTCTTATTCACAGACTTCAGAAAACTAGTTTGTTTTGAAAACACAAAGATGGCACAATTAGTCTATCATTTCCCACAAAAAAATTATGGGTCGGTTAATTAAACAGAGTTAGCTATTGTTCAACAAAGCCGCGTTCTAAGTTATTCTAAATGTGGCTAATCTTAGCATATAAACTTTACTAATTATGGAGAGCGTAAATAAGGCATAAAACGCGGACTAGAAAATCATTTATCTGACCAAAATAATGCATTTACAAACAGGTTAGGTGACGGCAGTGAAAGGAATAAAGTTTGGAAAATAGACTGTCAGTTAATAAAAAAAAAAAAAGTATATTAGATATTTAATTATTTTGTTCACTCCTTCAGAAAAAGGAAAAAAAAGTGGCGTTCTCGTTGTGAGAGGGAATCGAACCCCAGTAAGCCTATTTAGAGAGCGCAAGCGCTACCACTGCACCACACGGAATGATGGCTAAAAAATTTCCTTTAACGATCTTTAACGATCTATTTAGCGCACGAATTTTCCTAAACCGATGCATGTTTCAAATGAAAATGTGTTAATGCAGCTTTATTAGGATAGAAACCAAATATGCGATATCACCCACGCATTCAAACGGCTGCTTTGAAGGTCGGATTCCATGCGTTGCTCTTACACAAATATTCAAAAAGACTCCAAACTTACAGCCCCAGTAGCTGGGTATTGTTACTGAAAATGCTTGATGGTAAATTCTTCAACTCATTGTTGTTCAACAGCCTATCAAAAATAAATAAATGTATTTTCAATTACATGGTATACAACAACAAAGTTCAGAGAATAAAAGTGCTGCCTAAAAAAAAGGTATTATTTCTGTTCTCATGCTCTGATAGAAAGGCCTAAAATAAACCCACAATTATTACAAAATAATTTGTATATGGGGTTGTCACATTTTTCCTTTTCCTTTTTTTTCTTTTTAAATTTTTTTTCCCTTCGTCCAAAAGAGAATATTTAGAGGAAAATTGAAACACAGACCTGAGTACTGAACCACATAGAATATTCTCGACTTGTTAATGAGGCTATTTAAGGAAGAGGGAAAGGTTCAAAGGGCGAAATTCTACCCCAGAATAATTCCGTTAACAAATTTCCTTTCAAATGTTTCTTTGATAATCTATTTCGCGAACAAATTTTCCTGAACTAATGCATGTTTCAAAGGACATTTCATAGTCCAAGTGTTAATGCGGCTGCAGCCATGCGGCCACTCTAGATGGGTATTGTTATTGAAAATGCCTGATGGTAAATTCTTCAACTGGTTGTTGTTCAACAGCCTATCAAAAATAAGTTAATGTATTTTCAATTGCATTGTATACGACAACAAAGTTCAAGATATAAGAGTGCTCGAAAACTGAAAAAGTTGTTACTTCTCTTCTCAAAAAAAAAAAAAAACAAACAAAACAAAAAGCCAAAGCAAGTAAAAGCTTTGGCAACCCCTGTGTGCAAAAAAAGCAAACAAAAACAAACGAACAGGGAAAGGTGTGAGTATCATTTGGTTTCTGGTTCACGCGACATTTCCCAATTATGATCTATTCATGAGAGTGTCCAATCAGTTTATTTAATTTATAAGAATTATATTTTTAACATAGATACATTTTTCTTGTAGGAATTGAAAGACTCAAGTAATTTTTACGCACATAGATTGTCACGTTACGCTTTAAGCGTTATTTATTTGCTTGATTTATCTCGTTGCTTTAAGCCCATGCTCCCACGAAATATTAGTACGGAAGCCATTAGAAATATATAAAATCGTCATTACTTAAATTAAAGGTTCAGGTGGATGTCGCTTTGAAATGAAAGTCTCTTAGTTCATGAATCCTACTTTGTTTCGAATCTTTAGTCCGTCGTTCATTTTTGTTACATCCGGATGTTTAAATTTAATTGTATTCCAGAGAATAGCAGCCCTTATAATTAATAGACTGTTCTTTCATAGACTCGCGAATGCCCACAAGAAAAAAAATTGTGCGCGAGTCGTTTTTAAAAACACAACCACACGCTGCATGACAAAAACATCGATTTAACTGTTTAACTTCAGTCGAAGGAAGGGAGTAAAACAAATGAGCGTCATTTAATTGAGTACTAAACATGCCTGTGGGGCAAATTGTAAAATCAGTGATATCTTTTGGCGTCTCGAAGATGCCGGCGCTCGACAAAATAAGATCAACTTCATTTTCTGGATTTGAAAACTTGCAACTCCACAAGTTACTTGAAATGTCTTCTTAGCAACTACGCAAGGGAACGACTTGAGATATGCAACTTCGGTCCTCTCGATAACTAAACCCACAAGTAACACCAGCGAACGATTTCAAGGAACAGCGAATCTCCATATTATCACAAAAGATCAGACGCTTATACGACAGATCAATTAGCTAACTCAGTATGTAGCTTGTCGATCAAATTGACGTTTGTAAATATTGTTTGACTTCCGCCGGCAAAGGAATCATTGATGCATCTGGAAATTTTAGTTTTCTGAAGGCAGTAATTCCTAGAAGGTTTTTCTAGAAAACATGCAAATAGGAAATAACCCATCTCTTGGTATTTCGGAGGCTGATTCATCTTTGGATTTATATCTATCTGTCAGGCTTGTCGTGCAGCTGATATAATAAGATGGAGTAGATGTATAAACTGGAACTCAGATCTGCCTAGAGTGAGGTAGAGCATAACGTGATTATCGAAACAGCTAATAAAATCATGGATAAACAAGGTAAGAGTGTTATGTGCGTTTTTTTTTAAATAAATTGTAGTGATTTATGCTAGCAACGGTGGCGACAAGTAGGCACGCCATGTATATTTCATAGTCGCTAGCAAGTACATTTTGCCGGATTTTGCGTTCGTTTCACGATAGAACAACACAAATACACAAGGAAATATTTACAGTAACTTTATAACCATCCTTTTGTTAAAACTTGTAGGAAAGGTATGTCGGACAAAAGTATTCTCCAAAAACTAAATATTTCTTTTCCAGCTTAAATAATGACAGGGGATTAAGTTTAGATGGTAAAACAAAGGGTTATGTTCACAGAAATAGCGGAGGTCAAATAAATTCGTTAGATGAGGTCACACAATTTGGGTAATAGTCACCGTGAAAATGTGCATATTTGAGAGGTCAATTAAGCAACAGGTGTCACTGGGCTGATTGTTTTTTTTTTGTTTTTTCTTTTTCTTGTTTTGTTTTCTTTTGTTTTTTCATCCCTTCATTCAAAGGATAATAATCAGAAGAAAACTGAAACACAGACCTTAGCACCGAATTGCACGGATATTCTTAACCTGATAACTAGACTAGTTAAGGAAGAGGGAAGGGTCTACGGGGGAAATTCCATCCTCGAATGATTCCTTTAACAAATTTGTTTACTTTTTTTTTCTTTGTGGACAATCTATCACGGAACGAATTTTCCGAAACCAAAGCATGTCTTAAAGGACATTTCTAAGTCCAAGTGTTAATGCCGCTTTATTAGGATAAGATGCGACAGCACCCACGCATTGAAATGCCTACTTTCAAGGTTGGATTCTGTTTAATATATTTGCCTCTCTTTTGTGCCGGCCTCATGTATTTTTTTAAACTTTAAAGACCGTATGCCCGTAAGTTTGTTTTTAACAATCTCAACTTTTGTACTAACAATAACGTGCAATAATAACCACCAGCGCTACGTTCAAAAATACAAACGGTTTAACAATTCATCGGCGGTGTGACGGTAGCGGCGTGATTCGTAATTTCGTTCGTCGCTACATACGTGCATTGCATGAGGCTACAGAGTTTGTCGGATGTGATACATTATTACGACCATTATAAAACCACCAACACAATGATAACGAGACTTGTGAAAATCATAATTCCCCGCGATGGATATTCGATTAGATAAACTAAAAGCAGGGAATTAGACAGGAGTACCGAACGCTACGTTTAGCTTTTCGTAAATACTACGAGTACGTTTCGGTAGTAGCTAATACCAACACTGTGTGAAATAAGGCGTATCGCGAAGCTGAAATCACACGATACGAACCCGTATTCTTCGAGAATACGGACATACCCGGACGTACCGTGTTCCAAGACATGCGATGTGTCCACCGAGTGTGAGGAACTGTATTCGTTCCAATTCGGACTTAACCCGTGGCATGGAAAATCCGATGTCAGGATAGGTCATTGAAAATGCGGCGTGTGGAGACCCCGAAATTTCCTTATACTTTCAGACTTGCCGCAAATAATGGCGTACCGTATACGAGCGCGCGGTCTGTAAAATTGTGCCTTTCTAAAAATTGTCTTTTCCACGGTGAGAACAGTTTCAATAAGTATTCTTGTCCCGAAATTCCACGGTACTAGACGAATCGGTCGGTATTCTACGGTATTCTATTTAAGAAGGTACTAGACGAATCGGTCTGTATTTCCACGGAGAATGGCTTGATATTCTAGAAGCCGAAATTTCACGGTACATGAAGAATAGATTCGTATTCTAGATTTTGATATTCCACGGTACGAGAAATTTCACTCGGCATTCTTGATCCACACTACATACTATCAGGTGTTCTTGGAAAAGCAACGAATTCTCCCGATAATTCTGCACCCTCTTACTAGTGTATTTTTCTCAGAACCTTTACTCTAAAACAATAAATTATTTTAATATCTAATAAATAATCCTCAAAATGGCCAATTTACAGAATCTATTTCATCATGTGATGACTAACAACTAAGTCTAACATTATGCACAAAAAGGGAAAAAATTTAGATTGTGTGTAATAATTAAATATACTAAGCTAAAAGTGCTTAATGCTTGACATGGATGAAAGCAACATTTTCAATATTTACATAAATCATTACACCACGACAATAATTTTAGTATGATAAAAAGACATTTTTCCATCAGTCAGATATGAAGACAAGAATAACAATAAGAAATGTCTATACTCTAATATTAGAGAGTAATAAAATTTTATCAAAAACTACAATAAATTCTAAGCAAGTCATACCATGTTAACAACTTAGTGGCCCCTGGTTATTTACTGAGCTGGAAAGTGCCTTTTTAAAGCCAATTCTTAAACATAAAAGTTGTTTGAAGAGCACAATAATTCAAGAAGCTTGTTTGAAATCATTCCAATAAAATTAACTGTGGCATATCCAAAACTGTAGCATTCTTTACAAAGGTCTTCAGTACATCTGATACTACTTCAACAATAAATGGAGTTGATCACTGCAAAATTCTATATTATTTAAGGATTCTTCCCACAGATTTTTGAACTGTTTGCAATAGCTGGCAGATTATGTTCCAATCAAGATGAGAGAGAGAGTGAGAAAGTGGCATCATTTGTTAATTTTTCAGTTTGTGAAACCAGCTAATGCAATATGCAAAAAAAAAACATTTCGTGAGTTGGGGTTAAAAAGGAACCATTCACCCTAATCCCCATAAACCACCTTGCCATTCTGTCAAATGAACTGAATTAAAAACAGAAGGCAAAACATACAAGTTATGTAAATAAAGAACACTTAGGCATTAATTTAGTCCCACAGTGACTGTAGCCATCTGTTTGGCCTCCTTCGGATTGTGACAGGGCTGGTGTCCAACATATGCAAGGGTTCCCCATCGCTTTCATCACCACTGCAATGTTGTGGGGACTGTGGGGAGGGAGGAATCCTATTTGGAGAAGGACACCTCTCAGGGCTCTGTCTATCACCAGGAAGGAGTGCCAATGCAGGTGAGGAAGTTGGTGGACTGTGTGTGGATGGCTCTCCCTCTACTCTTTTATTTTGTGGATGTGAGCTTGAGGAGGCAGATGGCTGGTTGTCAATTTTCTCCTGAAGTCTCTTTAAGAGAGGAGATAGCTGTGGACTACGCCACAGTGGTGACCTCACAACCCACACATCCTCTTGACTGCCCTCACCATTCTCCTTGCCACTCATGAAATTTGCATCAATTTGTTGCAGAGCAGTCTTCTCTGCTTTATTTCTTCTGTCAGGTAGATTGTCGAGGTATTGTTGTCTTTTCGTTTCATAATATCTTGACACAGCACCTGGTACATAAAAATAGTATTAGGTAAATTGCTTATTATTTATTTATTACCCAAATTCATGAAAAAGTCTTTGATGGGAATCTTGTCCTAACATTGAAAGCTACTTTTCTCAATTTTATCCATTCATTCTCTCAAGTAAATGGCAACCTTACATCAACATTCGATGAGAAAGTCAGGTTAGGTCATTTTCAAATTCAACCTATTAAATTGTTTGATATGCATCAAATGTGTCTCTTCGAAGTTAAGTTTCATTCAACAGGAACAATAGGAGTCTTCTACTAAAGGCAGGCACAAGATGGGTTATGCACCTTGAAAAGCTATGTTTTAGGGTACTCTAGACAACAAACTTTCAGATGAAATAAACAAAAGTTTAAAAAATTTCTTACAAGGTGACCACATTTAATGTAAATTGTATGCACACTCTAGTAGCACATTTATGTATGTACTTTAAAGAGAAAATCATATGAACACATCACTTACACTTGATAGTTGACTTTTCATAGCCATTGTCTTCCTTTTCCAGTTCCTTACAAAGAAATCCTCGAACAGCACTGTTGTGGGCACTATCAATGCTACAAAGGAATGTTATAGTAGTAATGCTTTGTTAGAAAGGTGCATAAAGATGAACAAAATTAAATATAGGTTTAAGTTAGTGACCAAGCTTGTTTGGAAGGTGATAAAATTTTTGTGTGTTTATGAACTGAGACTTTGTCAAGATCTGTGAAGACGTAAAAAGTAAACAAGGCCAATTGCTCAGCATCTTGACTAAAATAAGATATTCACATGGCCAACAAAGTTTGCTTGTAGGAAAATGCTTGAGGGAAAATCACAGACAAATAAAATCCTGTCTTCCCCATTTGCCAGCCAATCACAAAAAATCAGGGGACTTTGCAGAGAGCCAGAAACAAGTCACTTCAAGTTGTTTTAAATGACAGAAAAGACCACAATACACAAGAACACAGGCTTCTCCATCTCCTCGCGGTTTGCTTGGATCAAAATGGCAGACTATTAAGCATTGTATAAAATCTTTTTTTGTCTTGTGAAAGTATTGCTTTTCAGTCACAAGTAAGCAAAGCTTTAATTTGTCCTGCAAATTTTAATGTGGCTTCTTGTTTTGAAATGTGCCACCCCTCTAGGAGGGACAATCTCTTAACTTTGGTTGTCCTTTGTCCCCACCTAGAAAGGGAAATTAAGCACTTTGACTACACCCTTTGCAAGGTCCCCTCCCTTACCCAAGGTTCCACCCTCCAGGAGATGGCTGATGATAGGTGCATTTCCAAAACATTCCACAGACAAACTCTTAATATCCTGAATAGATATCTTTTACTCACCCTTCACTTCCACAAAACTAAAGTTCAACTTCTTGTTTGTTGTGCAACAAGTGCACATCACCCTTAAATTCAAACAAAATTAATTATAAGAACATTAACGTTTCTTATAAGAACAGTGTATGTGGAATCAAAGGTGAAAAGTGAAATAAGGGAGTTAAGTTCAAATTCTAATAATATCATGGGTAACAAATTATGCTTACAATTGTGTGGTTTTCTAAAATTTCTAGCCAGAATACAGGATGTTTTGTTTACAAAAACAAACAACTTAGGGACAAATAAAGAAATAAATGTTTAATCATTTGTCTCATGACATAGAGTCAGGCTATCAAAAGTTTGACAGCAATGTTTCCTACTGCTACACTGCTAGTCTTTGTCAGGCAGCAAGTTTGAATGTTTACATGTTGCTATATGTAGTACTTTGGTGTTTTGTCATTGGTACATTGTAGTACTCTGTCCTTGGTGCATTTCAATCCTCGTTATTATTCCGACTAGCAGATGTTATTCCCTCATAGGTCCGCTTTGTTACTGACCGGCTGTGATGCTTTTTAACTGTAGCCATCCACACTTCAGAAATTTTGATCCCACTCTCTCTATTGATGTTATTAGGGTAAAGTTTTATGTGGATGGCTTCTTCATCAATAATGAGAGCAGAATTTAAATTCCTTAAGCATGGATGCCCACAATCAAAAAGCATAACAGCTAGTCAGTAAAAAAGCTGACCTACGGGAGAACAACATCTGCTGGTTGGAATAATAATGAGGATCAAAATATCCCAATGATGGAGGGCCAAAATGTACCAATGACAAAACACCAAGGTGCTACATATAGCAACACATAAACATTTGACTTCATCACCTGATGAAGAAGACTAGCAGTGTAGCTGTCCAAAAACCCAAAAATTATCTAACTTTTGATAGCCTGACTCTAAATCATGAGAAAAATGATTAAATGCTCATTTATCTATTTAACCTCAATGAACAATAACATCTTCTTTAACTTAAGGACATTTTTGTAAATTATTACAGAAAAAAACAATCTATACTGAACTATGTGGAGTAACCTTTTTCAGTAGCTTTAAAACTAAATTGCAGAAGTTGATTTTCAGGCACTATTGGCAAATGATGTCTGACATTCTCAAAACTTCATACACTGGAGCAATCTTTGAGGCCGCCCCCCGAGTATTTATTATTCTCGGCTTAGTTTCAAACAAGCCATATGACATGCGGTATTAACATCACAAAGAAGGGAATACTGTCCCACAAGCTTAAAATACTTCCCATACCAGAATCGAAGCTTAAAAGGAAACGCCTATTGCTACAGTGCTGGAACAAAAATTTGCACAAACCTTTAGTTGCTTTGGAACAGGCCCACGGTGGATATTCTCCTTCTCAGTCGACTGAGGTTGGCGATCGAGCTTGTGTCGTACAGTCTGTAGTTCGGTCTTCACCTCAGCCACTTCTTTACAAGCGTTTTCCAGTTCCACGCTCAAACTGTCTAGTTTGGCATTTTGCCGCTTTACTATATCCCCCAGTTCTTTGATTGTGTCGAACAACTGTCGAATTTCTCGGTTTGAGACCACCAGGTTCTCCCGATTTCTAATAGAATCTTCTCGTAAAGGCTCTGGATGGGATGGAACTGCGCTTGATCGGGCGCCGGTTGATGAGCTTGAGCCGAATGGTCGTCGACTCAAAGTGGTACTGGTATTACCACTCCGGAAGAAAGATGCAGCCACATCGATGTCAAAACTAAAATCGTCCAGCGAAGATTATGTGACGCGTCCACAGGTCGAGCGACGCTTCTCTTTCCCTTCTATTTCGTCTAAGCGACCCGTAAGCCAATAATCTGCTTCTAGAGCAACCACGTGAGTAAGACTAACCAATAAGCGCAGTCTCATTGAATGTCACGCATTTTGTCGGCACGACTGTCGGCACTTAACTCGGTAGCATATTAATGGTTGCTGAGAGTTCTTCACCAAGGCAGCATAATAGGTGAAAGTACGGATCAATTGAGAAGGAAATTTTGTGAAAACTGCGCTTCTTGGTTTGGGGAAAGCTTCTATTATGATCACATATGTGAAAAGTCCAGTTTGCAGAGATTAAACGTGAAAGGTGAGTTGAGTTAATAATGAGGTTGATCTTTCTGAACATAGGTCGACGATAGTTGAAATTCCTGAAAAGTTTTCTTCAGTCCTCATAGTGTTTTAAGCCCGGGTCGCACAAGATATAACACTCTTGATTATTTGCGATGGTTCAAAGTTAAGCCGTTTTGAGAGAAGGAAGAATCTTGTTCTGCGCGGGCTGGACAGAACTGAAAAACCCCTGCGCATGGTAGAGACTCGCGCGCGGGGGAAACTGGGGACGACAACGTTAAACCATAGCAACACGTACGTGAAATGGCGGAATTTTCGAAAAAAAAAAAATGAACAGCGCCATTTTTCACTCCAGTTAAGACTTAGGTAGAACTTGCGCGCTTTAAACCTTCGCCAAAGACCGACTGGTAAGAGTGCTAAGACATATCTCCTGAACACAAACCAAAATTTTACAGCAAAGACAAGAGTCAAAGATCTCTGCTGGAACATCTGAAAGCATTACCAACAGTTTTTTAAATAGTAACTATCACCTGTAATATCAATTAAGCTCGGCTGTAACAGGTATTACGGGTTACGGGTTACAGCCCCTAATGACAATGCCACATGCACAGTACTTTTACAGCTCTGTCCAGGCTGTCTGTTATGGGCTGTGTTTATGTAATTACATTCAAAACTTTGTTGGGGCAGGGCCAGGATTTTTCTGACTTTTTCCTATGTATCAACATAAGGTCCACCAATCAATTAAATGTACAGTACTTCAGTTCTCTGCTGAAAATGACATTCAGATGTGGAAAAACACAGTCTGTTGC